AACCCCCCACCCAGCTCCCCCTTCATTGAAATCTTAGTGTCTCGTCTGGTCGTGATGAACCAATGGACAGGACCCGGGTGAGTGGCCGCCCAGGAGGCTGGGCCAAAGGAGGCCATCTCCGCAGGCCGCTGACTGTAGGGTCCCATCCAAGGCTCTGGGAAGGGCAGTGTCACCAGGACTCCCTCTGTGGCAGCCCCAGTGGGTTCACTGTGGCCTAAAGCTGGGGGCAGGGGGGATTAGGTGCCAAGGCACAGGAGGAAGCTCTGGGGGATAGAGGTGTTCTCTCTCTGGTGCTGGGGATGGAACCCAGGACCCCACAAGGGGGAGGCAGGCACCGTGCCACGGAGCCACACCTCAGGGACTAGGCGCTCTTTTTACGACTGCCCAGATGTGTTTATTGACTTGGAGTTTTTCCTTGTAATTCTGCCCATGACTTCATTTTATATTAGGTTATTTATTGATTCCTATGTTTATCATGTATCAATCAAGCATTTATGCTCGGAAAAAAAAGAGAGAGAGACAGAGAGAAGTGGTTAGAAGCCCAGGCCCTCCAAGCCAGGCTGCCTGTGTGGCTTTGGAGAAGTGACTTACCCTCTCTGGGCCTCGTTTGCACATTTGTAGAACGGAGATGACAATAAAGCTGGGAGAGGTTGTGGGGAGCCAAGGAGGCTGTGCGCACTAAGTGCTCAGCACGGGCGGGGCCTGTGACGTGGAAGGCTCAGGGAGCAGTCACGGTTGTCACTACCCAACACGCTGGGCTCCCCGATGCCGTCAAGGGGTGTGTTCACGAGTGTGAGCCTCTTTCCGGTTCCAGGTGGGGGCTTCGCTCTCCCCCTCCCCTGCCCCGGCCTCAGTTTCCTCATCTGTTAAGTGGTCTCACCCGATAGACAGTAAATACAGTGACGTGGGCAGAACCTTCAGAGAGGGCCGGCGTGGAGGGCACAGGACGTCTGGGAGCAGCGGAGCACCAGACAACAGGGATCCCACGGTCATCAAAACCCAGTGATGATAAAAATGCCTACAGTAGCGCTTCCAGGCTGGGCTGGGGCTCAGTGGGGAGCGCTTGCCCAGCACGTGGGAGGCCCTGGGTTCGATTCCCGGCACCACACACACATAAATGAATAAGATAAAGGTCCATCAACATCTCAAAAAATATTTAAAAAATAGTATTTACCACCGACAAATATTTTCACATACATGTTTATGCCCAAGTCAGTCTGTCTGTCTGTTTCTCTCTCTCTCTCTCCATATTTGGAATTGAACCCAGAGGCACTTTACCACTAAACTACATTCTTGGCCTTTTAATTTATTTTATTTCAGGACAGGGTCTTGCTAAGGTGCTGAGGCTGGTCTTGAACTTGTGGTCCTCCTGCCTCAGCCTCCCAGGTCGATGGGATCACAGGCTGCACCACCGCACTCAGCTGCCTTTCTTCCCCTTTAAGATCACTTCCTAGAGTTGGAGTTGCTGTATCAAGCGAAGAGTAGGTGACATCGCCGAGTCTCTTGATGGCTATCACCAAAAGGCTGCCCAAGAGGCTTTTTAATTTTTTTTTTAATTTTAAGAGTGTTTCTTATTTCGTATTCTTACCAGCACTGATTATGACATTTAAAAGATTTTTTTCTCAGCTAAGTACAATAGCTCACGCTTGTAATCCCAGCAGCTCAGGAGGCTGAGGCAGGAGGATCTCGAGTTCAAAGCCAGCCTCAGCAACGATGAGGTGCTAAGCCACTCAGTGAGACCCTGGCTCTAAATAAGATATTTAAAAAAAAACATTAGAGGCCAGCCTCCATAACTTAGTAAAAAGTCCCTGTCTCAAAATACAAAATAAAAAGAGCTGAGATGTGTAGCTCAGTGGTAAAGTGCCCCAGGGTTCAGTCCCTAGTGCGTGTGTGTGTGTGTGTGTGTGTGTGTGTATTTTTCTCCCAAGATACCTAAAAAATCAGTTTAGTATGCATTTCATTCATTGCTTATTCACCAATTCCATTTTTCTCATTTATTGTTCGGATTGTTTTTTTGTATTTTTGTTCATATCTTTTGCCTATATTTCTATTGTATAGACAGCTGTCTTATTGACTTGCAACTGCTTTCTATATATGAAGGACCTAAAGCCTTGCTTGCTGTCCATACACCAGTGATTCACCGTTTTCCTTGATACCTAGAAATCTACAATCTTTATGGTTAGGAGTTCGAATGCTCCTGGCCCTCTTCACCGTCTCCATCCAATTAGTCACCTCCACAGCACTCCTCCAGGGAGGCTCTGTCGGAGGCTCTTTGGACTCTGATTTTCTTCTTCCAAGGCCTTGAAGTAGGAAGGGGGTCCTGCCCCACCCTGAGGAAGCTCTTGGGGCAGGTCTGTCACCGGGATTGTCCCAGGGGTCTGATCTCTACCTGGGTCCTCAGCTAAGGTACAAGGGGCTTCCCCTAGCACATTCTGCAGCCCATTGCCCTGAGACTCGGGCTGGGGCATCGGAGAGACAAAGGCTGCGCCCGTTTCTCCTCCCATCCCTGTGGCCCCTGGTCTTGCTCCTTCTAGAGCAGAGATTCTGTGAGGATTCAAAGGAGCACAACCCAGAGCCTCTCCTGCCGGTGAGGAGCCGCGGAATGCCGAGCGGGATCACACCATCTCGTAACACGCGCTCAGGCCACCAGGGGGCAGCAGAGGGCAGCCGGTGAGCAGCGCTAGGTCCAGGGTTTGCCCCACGAGGTTGAGGCTGAGCGAGGGAAGAGGTTTCTTTCAGCCTCAGTGGCCTCCTGGACGAGCAGAGGTGGGTGTCAGAGCTCCTTGTTCAAATCAAATGGCTGAGCAGGGCGCGGTGGTGCAGCCTGTAATCCCAGCGACCTGGGAGGCTGAGACAGGAGGACCACAAATTCAAGACCAGCCTCAGCAACTTAGCAAGGTCCTAGGCAATCCAGGGAGACCCTTTCTCAAAATAAAAAATAAAAAGGAGGGGCGCTGGGTTACACCTGTAATCCCAGCACCTCGGGAGGCTGAGGAAGAAGGATGGAGAGTTATGACTCTATCAAGAGTCATAATCATAGAAATGCTTGAAACACAGGAAATGAATTAAATTTTCAAAATGGACATGCCAGGATTTGGGAATGTAGCTTGGTGGTAGCGCCCTTGCCTAGCATGCCAAGTCCCTGGGTTCGATTCCCAGCACTGCAAATAAATTCATAAGCGTACATTCCCTCTAACTCAACCGTTCTATTCATGGTAATCTATTCAGAGGAAATGATTAGAGCTGTGCACAAATGTTTAGCTCTTTGGATTTTTTTAGGAAACAGATTTATAGTAGCAAAATATGTATGAACAGTATAGATGCTCAACAGAATAGAGGGTTTAAGCAAATTAGAGTTCATTGATAGGATGCTTCTTATGCAGCCCTTAAAAATAATCTTCTGAAAAATGTTTAATAACATGGAAAGATACTAGTGATATCTTGTTTTTAAAAGACACAATATTCTTTAGAAATGTATGTCTCTGATCCTATTTATTTTATTTTATTAGTTGTTGATGGACCTTTATTTTGTTCATTCATTTCTATGTGGTGCTGAGAATCGAACCCAGTGCCTCACGCGTGCTAGGCAAGTGCTCTACCACTGAGCCACAACCCCGGCCCTCCTATTTCTTTTTAAAGATAGGAAAATGTAAAGAGAACATACCTCAGCATCCATCATTCAGTCATGGTTTTCAGACATTAATGAACTGCCTACTGTGTGCTAGACGGTCTGTCGGGGCACAGGAGCTGCATCAAACATTTAAGCGCATCTCTGAAGAGTGGAATCACCATCGTTCAAAAACTACATCCCCAGCCCTTTTCATTTTATTTTGAGGCAGGGTCTCCCTAAGGGTGGCCTCAAACTTGTGAACTTCCTGCCTCAGCCTCCCAAGTAGCTGGACTCACAGGCTGCACCACCATGCCCAGCCATTTAACAAGTGTTTATTGAGCACTCCCACGGCATCGATGCCAGCGCACTGGGTACGCGATGGTGAACAAGGACAAAAATCCACCATCTCTTGGAGCTGACATTCCAGCAGAGGAGACAATTGACAATAGACGCAATTAGCAAGCACTAGTAAAGGTTTCGGTAGCATCGGTAGCATCTGAGAGACACGTTTGCTGCTTTAGGCGGGGTGGGCAGGAAGGAGCTCAGTGGGAAGGTGACATTTGAGGAAAACCCTGAAGGAGGAGCAGAGGAGCTAAGCGAACACTGGGGAAGAGCATGCTCCAGGCAGAAGGGAAAGCCGGTGCAAAGAAAGGCCTGCAGCTGGAAGTGCACCTGATTTTTTTTTTTTTTTCCAGGAAGAGTGAGAAGACTGGAGGCTGGTGAGTGAGGTCATAGATGTCCGAGTTTATTCGTTTTTGAAGTTTAAAAGGGTTTTTAAAATTTTTCTATTGTTTTATTCATTACTTTAAAAACTTATTTTAAAAAGGAAGACCAAATAGTGTCAGATGACTGTCCTTCAAAACCTATTCCCTACTTTTCTGGGCTCCTGAGCCAGCTAGTCCCCCTTTAACCTGGTTCTTATCTGTAAAATGACTTAATAGAAATAAAACAGGCTGCGTTGCGGGTCCGGCTAATCCCAGGAAAGCGTTTACCGCATGGCTGACGCCTCGTGCTTAAGAACTGTTCCTGGCGACCATTAACCCATTGCTGTCTTCCGTCCCCTAATTCCTTCTGGGAGAAGGTGGGAGCGCGAGCGACAGGAAGACAGTCATTTCCCCTTTAAAACAAACTGGGGTGGGCCGGGAGTGGGCTTCTCCGCACCTTTTCCAAATTCTCCAATCCCCGCCTGGCATTTTCTGCCCCAAAGTCTCCGATTGGACCATCTACACCAATTAGAAGCTGGAGCGGGCACAGCCCCGCGCTCAGCTCCGCCCCTACGTAGGCCCAGCCCTCTGCCCGGTCAGCGCCGTTGCTATGGGGACTGGTGGGCGGCGAGGGGGAAAGCCCCGGATGTTCGTTGGGGATTCAACATGGCGGCGGTAGTAGCCGCGGTGGCGGCGGCGCAAGAGAGCTGAAGGCGGCGTAAGGGCGCGGAGTTCCGGGCCGAGCAGCCAGGCCGCCTGCGACGGTGGCGCCGAGCCGGTAGGCTAGGCGGTCTGGGCAGGGATGCGGGGGGTAGGCCGGGCGCCGGCGGTGGAAGAGCTTTGAAGTCGGAGGGGGCGGGGCCGCCGGTGTCAAAGTTCACTAGTGGAGGGAAGGGTCGCGTTGAGAGGGTCGGGGGTCAGCGCTGAGGGGAGGGAGGCGTAGAGGAGATCGGGGTCCAGCTCTGGGGGGCGTGGCGAAGGGCAGGGCAAAGTTTGAAATTTGAAGTGGGGGCGCGGAACGAGTCCCCCAAAAGTGTGTGGGGGGTCAGAGTTACTAATGTGAGGGGAGGGTGCCCCTACCTGGGTCAGAGGTCACAACTACGGGGACGGTGGGTTGCAGATCTAAAGGCCACAACTAACAGGACAGGTGAGTGAGTTTTAGGTTTGGGGGTCTTTTAGGGGATCAGAGGGGGCGTGGCCAGAGGGTACAAAGGTCAAAATCAGACAGGGAGACTGAGGGTTCGGAGGGTCTAAAACTGAAACCCAGGGGACACACTGCTGGAGCGAAGGGGCAGGGACATCCAGAAGAGAGGTCAAAAGTGCTTCCTGGTGGTGGGAGACGGGGAACCCCTCCCACAAATGATGACGCTGGTCTCCTGCTAGATCTCTTCCCCTGCTTCACTGTGTCCCCATCTAGCCCCCCACAGCCCCGTGGGGTCTTAGCCTGTTGTTAAGAACCCAAGTGACTTGCCCAAGGTCAGCTATAAGTTGTGCGGCCCAGAGTCCACCTCTGGATTCTGTCTCAGAGCCCTGTGTTTCTGCCTCTCCAAGAATCGCAGTGTTGGTTAACGTTTAATGAGGGCTCACCCCGGGCCGAGGGCCCGTACCTGGTTTTGTTCCATCGCTATCACGATCGGAGCAGTGGGTTCTGGAGGTAAACCCACTTTACAGGCAGAAAAAGAGAGGCTCAGAAAGCCGCCGAGGACAGGGGCCGATTCAGAGTCAGAATGCTCCCAGAGCTCCTGCCTCTAGCTTCCACACTGACCATTCCCCGGTGGGTCTGTGTCTGGAAGCAGCAGGTTGGGCAGGGCTGGGCCACTCCCTGGGCAAGAACAGAGTGTCTGTTTGGTCTCCTTGGAAGGGTGTGATCTGGGCGGGTTCCCGTGGGCCTGTTGGAATGGGATGTTGGTGGGTGGCCCACAGTTCAGGGAGACTGATGGGCTCATGGTTGGGAGGGTGTCCTTGGGGGGGGGGACCTGTGAAAGCCGGATGTTGTGTGTTCTTGGCCCCCAGCCTCTCCCTGGGTCCTCAGCGGCTCCCACCTCCTTTCCTGCCGCTGTTCCCCCAGCTCCCAAACTCTCCAGCTTCAGGCGTAGGCCTCCTCGCAGGCTCTGACCTCCCTGTTCCCCTTTGGCTGGAATTTTCCCACCCGCCGCTCTCAGCCTGCCCTGGACCACCGCCCCCTGCAGCCTCTCCCTCTGCGGCTTCCCAGCCTGCTGCCGGCCGCACCTGTTTGCTAGGGTGCGCTTGGAGTTTGCCTGTTAGAAGTGGGTGTTCCAAGCGCTGCCTGGCTTTGGCGAGTGCCCTGGGGTGGCGGGTGATTGCTGGGCGCTGGGACTGCAGCAGAGGACAGGACCCACAGAGCCCCCAACCTCAGGGTCTCCTGTGGGAGCAGACTAGAACCAGACGCCCACCTGTGACACATGGTGACATCTCTGCCAACAGTGATGAGGGCTGGAACGTGTCCACATCCTGGGCCTGGCCTGAGACCTTTGTCCCTGGGAAAGTCCCTTGAGGAAGCTCCGAAGGTTCGGTAGCCGGGAAGGAGCGCGGGGCGCCGGCTGCAGCGGAGGCCTTGTGTGGGGTTGGGGAGACCCTGAGGCTCAGCAGGGGAGGGCCAGGGGCAGGAGAGGGGCCAGGAGTTTCCTCCCCTGTGACACAGCACAGGGCTGGGCTGCCTCGTGGAAGTGCTGCGGGGACTCAGAGCACCTGTCCCGGCCTGGATCAGGGAGGCCTGGCATCAGGGGGGCCTGGCATCAGGGGGCACGTCAGCACTAGGCTTGCTGCTGCCACTGCCACCAAGAAGGGCCTCGGAGCTGGTGCGAGGCCTCGCCCCACCTGCCCCTGGCTGGCTCTGCGGCCGCCCCTCCCCCCGGGCCCTGGCATGGTTGGGAGCAGGCAGGCCGCCAGCAGCCCTCTGAGGCACCCAGCTCAAGCCTTGTGCTGCCAGCTTGGCACAGTGAGGGCAAGGCTCGGCCGACGGAGACCCACACTTTCAGGTTCCTGCCTCGTCACCCAGCAGCCTGGGACCTTGGGCAAGTGGTTTCTTATTTTTACCTTGGGGTAGATTTTAGGCTGAAAATGTAGGGACGAGTTGTAGGGGTGCGCAGGAAGGGCAGAAGGGAACTCTCCCAGGTCCCGTGAGAGACCTAGATGGCACGGAAGCCACCTCTCCCTGCAGCCTGCCTTCCCGGGCCCTGGGGCAGCGGGAGCTTCCCTGCTCAGCGCAGGCACACTTGTCCCACTGAGCCTAGGAATGGTGTCCCCGTCACATGTCCCCGTGCCCGTGCTTTTCCTGTTCCGTCTTAGACTGCGGGTGTTGCTCTGGGCGGCTGGCCTGGCTGGGGCAGCGTTCCGTTTTCCTGCCTGTGAGGGTTTTGTGACTGGGTCTCAGGAGTTATCCCTTGCACTCTTGGTGGCCCTCCTGCTGGCTTCCGTCGGAGCTGTAACAGTGTTGCGGTGAACATTCTAGACCGTTTGCTGTCTGCCAGGCCGAGTCTGGCCCAGTCGCCTTGAAGTGGCAGTGCTGCCTGTGGCTTCACAGCCCGGGCCCAGCGCCTCCTGAGGGGTTTCCGTGCGCCTCCCGACAGCTCCCAGCTGACCTCTGCCACAGTCTGCAGCCACGACAGCAGGCTGTGGGGGACCCCCCGGTAAGCCCGTTGGGAACGTTGGAAAGATGCTTCATGGCACTGCCTTAGCTGGGGCCGGACACCACGAGTCCCCCACCAGAGGTGGAGGCAGGCTGGGAGGGCTTTGACCTCTACCCCGGGCAGGCAGGACGCTGGCCCAGCTTTGATTCAGTTCTCCTTGGAGGGCAGCGGCCAGGGCTGGCGTTGGGTGAGGGGCTGGGCTGACCTGAACCTGCTCCAGGGGCGAGGAGTGGGGAGTAAAGGTGGGAGGGGGTGGCACAGCCTCACTGCACTCTCGCATGTGACCAGCACAGACAGCCGCTGACAGACCTGCTGACTCCAGACTGTGACAGCCCAGAGTCAGGACTGTGAGGGAGGAGCCTCGGGCAGAGGGCTCAGGGCCTGGGTAGGGCCATACCTGACCCAGCCTGGGAATTCCGCAAGGGCTCTCTAGAGAAAGGGACCAGAAAGGTTGATAAGAAACAGTGATCCGGGCTGGAAAGGAGGAAGAAAGAAAGAAAACAGGCAGTGGGTACGGAAGGTGCAAAGGCCCTGAGGCCAGAGCGCCGAAAGCCCATTACTTCAGCTGAGGTCGGGGGGATGCGTGGAGGAGAAAGGGGTGTGGCGGACAAGCAGGCCTGGCGGGGTTCGCCTGTGTGGGGGGAAGTCATTTAAGGGTTCTGACAACATCAGGTTTCCCTTTATAAAGACTGTGCAGGCCGCTCTAGGAGGGAGGGACCCAGGGTGCCAGGGAGACATGGGTGGGTGGGGGGTGGTGGCGCGGGTGGGGGTGTGTGTGCTGCTGCCATAGTCCACGCAGGAGAAGAGGGTGGGTCGGTGAAGGTGACTGTGATGCGGGCTTGTCCCCTGCTGACCGAGTCTGAGTTCTGACCCGCATTCACCCGGGGTGGTCCTGGCACTCTGAGACAGTACGCTGCTGTCCCGCTTTAGGGATGAGAACACAGATCCAGCCAGGGGTGAGCCTTGCCTCGGGATATGGCAGGCAAGGCAGAGGCGGGACTGCACCCCAGGCTTCGGGCTCCAGAGTCGCTGCTCACTGTGGCCCCTCTGGCCCCTGCCTGTCCCCTTGCTTCGTACCCAGGCTCCTTTTTAGACAGAAGCCCCAGGGACCCTCTGGACGGACGCGGAGTCCCTTCTTCCTCAGGCCCTGTCCTGCTCCCCTCGGTGTGGGCCGCACCCTCCTGCGGCTCGTGGCAGCTGGACTTCCTGGCCAGACGCCGTGGGGTGTCCCCGCAGCTGTTTCTTCCATCTCCAGAGCCGGCGGTTAAGGTGCTGCCAGCAGGAAGCCGTCCCCTTCCAAGTCGCGGCCAGGGAACCGGGACCCTTCCGTCCCAGCCGTCATCCGGGGCCAGGGCTTACTGTCTGCTAGACACATTGACCACAGGAAGGGCAGAGGGAACTCTCCAGGTCCCAGGGGAGCCGGCTGTGCCAGATGGCACAGCACCACCTCTCCCTGCAGCCTTCTCCTGGGCCCCTACCCAGGTTGTGGCCTGCCTTCCGGGGCCCTGGGGGCAGCGGGAGCTTCCCTGCTGGGGTGCACAGCTGCCCCCAGGGCGGGTGCTCCCCTCAGGGCCGAGGAGGGGCCGAGGCCACTGGCCTGTGAGGTGCTGGCCGGGGCTTGGCGCAGAGCTGGGCGAGCCCTTGGTGAGCCTTGAGCTTGATGGCTTTCCCCGCTGCTGTTTCCTGTCCGCTGTCCTGTGGGCTCCCGGGTCCTTAGCAGCTGTGGTCACCTGGCTCCCGTTCTTGGCTCCGCACGGGCACGTGCTTCCTGAGCGTCACCGCCAGGGCTCTGCTGGGGACCCTGAGGACCCGTGCTCCTGGCCCCATTTCGTTCCTCCTGCGCTTCGTTTCCAGGAGGCAGGTGGCCGCTGTGCCTGGGTCTCCTAGTCCCCGAACCCGAACGCGCTGAAAGCCCTGCACAGCCAGCAGGGGGGCCGTCCCGGGGCCAACGGCCTCCCTCTGGCTGCGGTCCCTTCCCGGAGACAGGGTGCCCGCGGTTTCCCTCCTCTTGCCACGTCTGTTCCTGGGAGCACCCCCGCCCCCGCCACCGCTTTTACCCAGAGGTCACGGGAGGCCGGGTCTGTCCTGCCCCGGCGTTTCCACTCTGAGGTTCTGCGTCAGAACAGCG